CTATTATTCATGCACAATGTAAACAGTTTAATCACTGGTTAGATTCCCATATCAGGTTTGCGTGTGGGTGGACACAGGTGAAACATACCTGCAGAACAGGTGCAGAGTTTTCAGTTTGAATCCTGTAATCAGGAGGTGCTACATGAGCATCCTGTCACTTCTGCTCTGATCCTCCATCTGCGATCTGACTCACACAGACACTCGCAAAGCCATGATTTGAAATGTCAACATTCAGAAGCCTGTCAGGCCTCCAAACTCCTCGCAGTGTCAGAGAAATCATCCAGAGTCTGTTTTTATCAGCTACTCTTGCTGCAGAGTAGCTTTCAGGTGCCCAGTGGGTTCTGCCACACTAGGAAATCATTCACACTGAGAGGTGATGCTTTCATTAAATGCAGTGCAAATTACATTTTTAGCTGCATAGTTATGGGGATATAGTTGTTTTGTTATCCTATTTTGTGTATGAATTTACAAAATATGCATTCCTATCGCAAAACGTCTAGATATTAACAAGAAGAAACATTGATTTTGATTTACCAGATTACAAGAGGAAAATCTAAAGAAATCCGTTCTGAAGCTCCACTTTTAAAGATCTCTGGGAGTTGGGATTCTAACTTGTGTGGCATTAACTAATTAATTAATTTAATTGGATTTACCAGAGAAAGAGAAGATGTTGTGCTGTACAGCCTGCTCAGGAAGTGAGGAACCCTTCCCTTTGGGGAATCAACGCCTTTAACAAAGAGACAGAGAGAGGTGCAAAGCAGGATGGAGAGGTGAGAACAGTTCAAATAAAGATAGAAGAAGTGAGACAGCAGGGGGGAGGGAGAGAGGAGGGGAGGAAAGCTTTCTTAGAGAGAGAGGTAGAGTCGGCGCCGGCTCTGTCCTGCTGCCTCGCAGTCGATGCTTAGGAGCATGTTCGCGCCACATAAGCTGAGCCGTTATCGGGACTACAGGACCCAGAATGCTCTGGGCCACCTGGCAGCCAGCAGGTCACTCACCTGGGAACTGCAGGTATGAAGAGGAAGGGTATTAGGCATGAGGTTGCTGTTGTTTAGATTGTTTGGGCGGTTTGGTGAATCTGTGCTTTGACGTCCAGTTCTCAGTGGAGGAGTGAACTCTGAGGCTTCAGGAGGAGTTAAGCGTTGTTGTTCAGTGTTGCTGAACTACAGCAGCTTTCTGGGTGGCTCCATGACAACTGTGTCTGCATCCGTGACTGTGTGGCTCTGTGTTGGGATTTCCTGCTGTGTGGATGACGAATGTTCGGGAAGCCTGCTCAACCTGCTGTGTGTGACTCACTGGACCAAAGGGAAAAACATCCACCTTCAGACAGACTCATGGATACTCTCTGTAGTTTCCAGCTGAGGATGAAACTCAGGAAGTCTGTCTGAACCTGCTCTGTAGCAGCCCAGGAGGAATCTAACCGTTAGTGAGGAAGAAGTGTACTCAGGCCGCACCCTGTGCTGAGAACCAACGGACCTAATGAGTCCAAACTGAGTTTAGAAATCGATCAGCTTGCTTCTCTAATGGCTCAACTTTTCAGAGCTTAGCTGCTAAAATTGCTTTTATTGATCTCATAGAAGTAGTTTGTACCATTTCTTTGGAATCTAACCAAACCGTTGAATGTACTAATAATGACAGATGCACAATTTTCTTAGATATGATCAAAGGCACTAAGGAGCGTTATCACAAATCCTTCCTCCCAACAAACAATTTTTAATTTAATTTTTTACAAACAAACCATACATCAATATTTCTTTCATGTATCAAACGATATGTGCATACATGCATAAGTGTGTTTATCAATCATGCATTGAGATCTCCTGAAGCTCATGCATTCCTGCTCCCTCCATGTTTTGTTTGGTTTGTAAATACGTTTTTTTTTTTTTTTTTTTTTAATTAAGAGCCAAGTAAAATTTGTTATCCTTCTTTCATTTTTACCATGTCATGGGGCAATAAAGATTGGCAATACATATCAGATAGACGTTAAAAAAAACGCATCTCTTTTTTGTTTGTCTTTTTACATGCATGCTGATATTTACAGTTTTTCTGTTGTTTGTTTTTGGAGAATGGTCTGTTCTTTTTGTCAGGCACGGCGAGAGATGCATATTTTGGATGTTTCCAGGAGGAATAAACCGATACAATAAGCATTTTTAAATGTTTTTGTTTTATCAAAGTCAGCCGATGCATGCATGTTTCTTAGTTGCATTCTACAGCCACATCATGAGATCATATGAGCTGCAGGCATTCTAGATCTCTTCATTTGCTCATTTTTGTTTGAGTTTTTTTTATTTTTATGATTGTTTCTTTTTTATTATCATTAAATTAATACTTGCGTAACATTGGTACCATTTTGTCATTCTTATCATGTAAGTGGAGGAAGAGAAAGTAATATCTGCCTAAGGAATCTGCAACACAGACCAAAGAACATCAAAATAATCTGTATCAGCCTTAAAAACCTGCAGGTTCCAGTCAACTGACTAAATCGTACATTGGATTTTTCTTTTAATATTCAGGCTGCCCATTTTCTGATTTACTGTTTTTTTTTTATACTTTAGATTTTCGATAGTTTGGATATTTTATAGTGGTGTGTGAACCACCTTCCTTCCGTTTGGCTTTTGTTTAGCAGCTAGCACAACTGAATTGTCAAACTGTAGGACCATAAATGATATTTCTATTCTAATTAAATTAATTCAGTTTATTTATATAGCACCAATTCACATCACATGTCATCTCAAGGAGCTTTACAATTCAACCAGATCATCCATTCAGAGTGGTTCCAAGATTTCTGTCTAAGGAAAACCAGTTGATTGCATCGACTCATTGACTCAAATACAATCCCCACACTAAGCATGCTTGTAGCGACAGTGGAGAGGAAAAACTCCCTTTGAACAGGAAGAAACCTCCAGCAGAACCAGGCTCTCTATTCTATTCTATTCTATTCTATTCTATTCTATTCTATTGTACATCTGGGTGTACTAAATTGAGTGGTAAATGTGTTATATATGCACATGTCAGTTATCAGCAATATATTCAGATTTGTGATATCTATATGGGCCCAAAGCTGTCCAATCGGTGCATCTCCTTTTGTGTTGTTGTTTCAGACCAGAGCGCTCACAGCAGCATGAACAATTGACTTTGATGTAAAGCACTCAGAGGCGGGCAGACAGGATGAGGAAACATAAAGACATCAATGCCTTCATGTTTCCCATCAGCCTGAAGTCTAGATTAAAAACAACCAAATCATCTTTTTTTTCTCACCATTTTTGTAACCCTGAAAGAAAAATGTCAAAACACCAATCTAATGCGTTAGCGGGTTTTTGCCAACTATGAATAAATTATTCTGAGTAGGAGCTCAGATTAATTATAAGGTGTCAGCTGGGGGTGGAGTGATCAGTAGTAACATTTAAAACCAGATCAGCTTCTGAAAGGGAAATATGTGACTGAATGTGTTTGACCTCCCTGTTTTTTTATTTCTACTGCTGATTTCTTACAATTTCTCCCTGCAGATGGGACTCTAAACTTATATAAATTAAATACATTCTGTTTATTAAACAAGGTTATATTCTAACTATAGATGCCATCAATTTGTATCTGGAATGAATTTAAAATATGGATTTGGACTGAATTTAATTAGAAATAAATCTGGTTTGTCCTCTCTGCAAATTCATTTATTGGTTGAATGAATTTGGGTTTAAATGCTGCAAAAATATTTAAACTATCCTCATAAGAATGATCAGCAGTAATATCAATATTGTTCAGGTGTTAATGTTTAAAAAATCAAAGGAAAGCTCAAAGAGACGCAAAAATTTAAAATTGTCTGAAAACACGATTAAAACACTAAATCTAAGTGAAAGGTGCTAAAAACAGGTAAAATTATCTGAATTAAGATTATAGTGTAAAATTCTGCATTTAGAATAAAAAAATTAACTCTTAAAACAAGAACAATTATCTTTCACCTGCACATACTAGATGTTTTTCTAGGTAAAAACCAGATAATTAGAATTACACAAGAGAAAGGGACGAAGGAAAGGAACAAGTCAGTAGCTGAAAAAGGGAGAGGATGATGGAGAATTATAAATACTTTGATGTAAGGAGGCAAAAAGACAAAAAATAAAATCATACTCAATAAATCTGAATAATATAGAAAGTTTATCGATTTCAGTAACTTGCTTCTCTACTAATCTAAAACAAGTAAAATATCTTCAAATAAGTGTATTTTCCCTTAATTTGAGCAGGTAAATAAGATGATCTGCCAGGGAAATTACTATTTTTCCCCTTAAAGTTAGAAAATTGGATATGATGCACTCAAAATCAGATTATGTGTGGGTTTTTTTTTTTTTATTAAACATAGGTCATGTTATTTCACTAGCAAACTTTTTTACTTACCTTCACACTTCAGGAAGAAATACAATTCTTTCTAATCGGATTTTATTTTTCTGTGTAGTGAAGGTGACCAAAAACTATCTACATAGACTACAAAACATATTTGAATTCAGAAATCTTGACTTGAGAGAGATGTATCGTAAGACATGATGTATCAGCTCTAACATCTCCGTGCTGTTCTTAAAAAATGTTGGTATCTGCTGTTTAATAGAGATGAAACAGAGAAAAATGTCAGAGGTAGGATTGATTCTCCAGCATAGAGAAGGAAAGGGATAGTAGTATTGGTCTTTACAGCCATATTTATATTAGACATGGAGCAACAAACTGTTTCACCTGTTTATCCACAAATATTAACATTTTTTCACCATCTCGGACAAACTTGAGTCTGAATTGATTTGAAGCATCACAGATTTTTTTGCTGGCTTTCTAAGAAAAAATAAGTACCGGTATTCAATGTTTGGGAATATAATAATATGGGAATAACTAATATCTCTCTGAGTCGGTAGGTTTCCCTAAATCCAACCTGAAATGTTTGAGTTACTTGTTGATCTTCAGCCTGTGGATGGGAGTAAATCTCAGATGTTCAGGTGATGATGAGCTGCGATGTGTTTTCTTTGCAGGATGACGTTCCCATCAAAGAGATCAGCATCACTCATCATGTGAAGGAGGGCTCTGAGAAGGCCGACCCGCGGCAGTTTGAGCTCCGGAAAGTCCTGGGTCAGGGTTCCTTTGGGAAGGTGAGTCAGTTCAGGCAGCATGTGTTCGTTGATATGGGCTTTATCTTAACTCAGCATCTCACTCCTCTGTGCGAGAGGCAGTTCTCATTGAGAGCTCCTTACGGTCCCTTTTGTCCTTGTCTTTCTGGATGGATTCAGCTCTGTTATGCTCTGTCTGCAGGTGTTTTTGGTGAGGAAGGTCACAGGACCGGACGCAGGTCAGCTTTATGCCATGAAGGTCCTGAAGAAAGCCACGCTGAAAGGTAAACCATCCAGAATCTCCTTCTTTCTGCTCCCTTTTTAAAATCTACCAAAAAAACTGCATCCTGGTGTACATGATCTGTCACAAGCAGTGATGGGAGTAACGGCGTTGTTACGAACTCTGTTACCTTGTTTTAGTAACGAGTAATCTAACTAATTACT